CGGCACCGGGGCGTGCCTATCTCTCTGAATCTCCCTTCTTTTTCTATCCTTTCCTTCCTTCCCCCTCTTCTGTTTTTCCCTTTGCTTGCTTCTTTTTTCTTCTTCCTTCTGTCCACTTTGTCTTTTTATTCCCTTTTTGCTCTTCTATATACCCTCTCTTTTCCATCTTTCTTCCCTTTTCTATCCCTCCTCCTTTCCTGATTTCTTCCTTCTTTCTACTTCCCCTTCTCTTTCTTCTCCTTAGCAATATTAGTTGAGTCCCTAACTGGATGCCAGACCTAGCAAACCTAGCCTAAAGGAATCTAAATTAAAATACAAGCTGGGTTTGGTGATGCACACCTGTAATTCCAGCACTCTGGGAGGCTGAGGCAGGAGGGCAGAAAGTTCAAACTCAGCCTGGACAATTTAGAGACTTATTGAGAACCTGTCTCAAAAACAAACAAACAAACAAACAAACAAACCAGGGCTGTGTATATAGTTCGGTGCAAAGGCCCTGGGTTCACTCTCACCCCCAGTAGGGCAAAACCAACAAACAAATACTTTATAGAATGATAAGACCACCAAGATCTTTTTTTCTGTGGTACCAGGGATCTGACTCAAGACCTTGCACTTGCGAGGCAGGAGGCAGAACCACTGAGCTAAGTCCCCGGCCCCACAAGATCTTAATTAAAAGTAATAAGAACAGCGTGTGTGGCGCAGTGTTGTTTAGTAAGATCTGTTTGTAAAAATAAGAGTTGACATTTGTGTGACAAGGATGGAATGGACACAAGAGGACTGGGTAACTGTGGTTATCTCCGGTGATGAGAGCTGGAGAAGAGAATTATTTTAGTTTTGTGCTTCTCTCTGTTGTTTGGAAAAAATTTTAATGTGCATGAACTTTTCAAAAGGAAAAGAAAGATAAAATTTAGAAATTAAATTTACTAGAATTAAATTAAATAAAGCCAGAAAAAGGGATAAAAATGTGGCTCTTGGATTTACACCAAGCAAGAGCCCAACCTAACTCTGTCACTGTGTAGATTGATGTCCAGTGTTAAATTCTTCTCATTCATTCTTATTTTTAAACTTGGAATCCATGTGGAGCGATGAGTTATTCACATTTTTGTTCATTGGCATTTACCCACAAATACTATATTAAGATGTGCTTACTAGAGCACATCCGGGAATGTTGTTTATAGGGAAACAAAATGATGTCAATATTTTTCAATATGACAACCTTGTAAAATAGAGAAGGCAGTAATATTATTATTCCCTTTTCATGCAAGGGGAAATGGGTGTCCAGAGAAGTGAGGTAGGTCACCAGTTGGTGCTGAGTAGGATTCAAATCCAGGTTTTCTGGATTGCAATCAGAAGTCCTTCCCACACATGAACATGGTAAAGTCTCTTTTGAATATCTTTACTTTTAGTCCTGTAGTGCCCAGTGTATTTTCAGATAAGCTCATAATTACAACCTTCCCTTACAAAAAGATCTAATCTAGTCATTTATACTTTAATAAGCACAGGAAGATTTATAGCTGTTTTTCATTAAGTTTATTCATACTTTTTAGGTATGCAGTACAATTACATTCATCACTGGGATCTTGTACCTTTACATGATGTATCTTGGTTCTTATTTTTCCCTTCACTCCCTCCACCCTTCAAGATTTATAGCTTTATATTGAACTCCAGTAATAAAATAGTAGGTTTACAATTTAGGACCTTATTGTTGGAAAATGATAGTAACTCAATTTGGATTATTTTCATTAATAAGAAGAGAGTTGTTTACGTGTTTATATAGGGCAGGAATAAAGCTTGTGTGAGGGAAGATAAGAACAAAGAATTTGATGCTGTCCTCCATTCCCTCAACCTCCCATCTTTGTGCATATATAGTTTGAATCTTCAGTATCTCTCTGGGCCTCATGTGCCCAGCTGATGGCCTATTGGGAGGTGATAGAAACGTTAGAAGGTTGGGCCTAGTGGAAGGAAGTTAGGTCTTTGGGATGTGACCTTGAGGGGTATTGGGACTCAGGCCTCTTCCCCTCTCCATAACTTCCTGGCTGCCATGAGGTGAGCAGCTCTGCTCCACTATGCACTCCCATTAGGGTGTTGCCTTGCTACAGACCCAGAGTGACAGGACTAAGTGACCATGGATTTAAAACTCTAAAACTATTAGCCCAATCAAATCTTTCTTCCTTATAAATTTATTGTCTCAGATATTTTAAAATAATAACACAAAGCAGACCAACTCCTCCCTCAACATGTGACTGGAAAAATAGCTACTAGCTGCCTCCAGGATTTTTATACTGTCCTGACCATTTGGGGAAAAATTCTGTTCCCTGTCAGCTTTACCTAGAAAAAAACTCAGAGAAGGGTCCTGCTTGGTTCACTTGGAACATATGTTTTATGGGGAGGGGGTGTCATCTTGGGTACCAAGTCCAGCTCTGTGGCTGGGAGGAATAGGAGCTATGAATGGCAGCTCCACCCCCACCCCAGAACTATGTGGTTAGCCAGGGAAGAAGAGCTGCCTCTAGGGAGAGCAGTTGTTTTTTCACAAAAGCTAAGTTAGTGTCTGTTACTTCCTTGTGACAAGCTTCCTTGGCATCCAAAAGGTGGAGGTCAGGGCAAGAGTGGCTCTGTGGCTCTGAAATCAAGTCATAAGCTCATCTTTATCAGCTTCTGGCTGAACCTCCTTTTGCTCTGAGAACTGCTATGCCCACTCCCTCTATGGCCAGGCCTGTACCATGGCATGATGACTCACTGCAGGCTGGACTCATGTATTTGTGTGCTGCCTAAGGACAGGATCAGGTCCACAGTACCCAGCGCAGTGACCTTTACCCTTCAGATGTCCCTCGGAGCTACGTGTCTCCCCTTCCCACAGTGGCCCTGTGATGGAGGAAGGCGATGTACCTCATTTGCACTATGGAGTTAGTAATTTCCTGCCTTGAGAGCGAGCCTACATAGGTCACAGGAGTGAAAAGAGCAAGAAGCAGAAAACATCTCTCAGAAAAAGTGCCTGGAAGGTAGGAAACCCAATTCATGCCCTTTGGAATTCCTAGCACTAGTCCTGTGCCTGGCATAGAAGGTACCTGAAAATGCTAGTTGAAATTGCCACACGATGTCAGGCAGACTCTGAAATGACCTCAGAGTCCTGCTTTCTGTCATTCATGCCCCGCCCGCTCCATGTAACAACAGGATGCAGCAGAGGTGATTCTGTTAATAAAATCGTGGCTTTGATTAGGTTACATAAGACCACAACTTGAGTCTTACAGGCCAACTCTCTCCATTGCTTTCTTATTTTCACCTTTTGATGAAAGAAGTTGCCATGTTGGAAAGACCATGTGGCATAGACCTAGCCCTGAGGCTTCCAGCCCTGTTATGAGCCCTGGGGGAGCTACATCCCACTGCCACCATCTTGCAAAGCAAGTCCTTCCTCAGTTGGGTATGCAGATGAGACCACAGCCCAGGCCAACATCCTCATCATAGCCTCATGAGAGAGGCTAGCAGCGGAAGACCCAACTCAGCAGTGTGCAAACTCCTGACTCACAGAAACTGGGAGGCAATGAATGTGCATTTACTGAAGCCATTAAGGTTTGGGGTAACTTGTTACATAACAGAGACAGCTTAAACAAACATCACCCCAAACTGGCAAACTGCACTGGCTGTGGATCTCAGTAGGGACTAAAGTGACATCATACTAGCCATGCTTGCAAAAGGGCTCTGCCAAAGCGTTGCACACATTATGCTCTCCACCCCGCTTCCATCCTGGTGGGAAGTGCACTGTGATCCCTATCCCACAGGTGGGGAAACAGAGGCCTGGAGAAATCAGGTGCAAAGTCAGACAGCTCATCTCCCTGTGTCTGCCCACGTCCAAATCCCACCTTCTAACCCCTGTGCCACACTACTCTTTGGAAACAGAGCCAAATCAACATCCTTCCTGTATATTTGAAGTACAGTTAAATTAAAACAAAGTCCAGAAGAGAATGCATACAGTCATACATACATGTTCATGCATTGAAAAATATCTGATGATTCTTTGGAGAGTGGAAATCATTTTTGGTTGCAGTTTATAGATCTTTGTGTGTGTGTTCCATAGAGAGTAGAGAAGAGATGACTGCCCCACATGATGGAATCATTCTCCAGTAGTAGAACTTCAGGTTTGAGATACATGGGCAGGGGGTTGATTCTGAGCCGAGATTGAAGAGCAGGCTTCTCAGCAGCAGTAAGTTGCCTGCAGCAGAAGCCAGAGCCTCCTGTGGTCCTACAAACTTACTGGCTGAAGAGGAGGAGGATGGTCCTGGGGAGAGGACAAGGCCAACTCTGCACTTGGGTTAGTCCTCCCTGCACTAGCCCCTGTCTGCAGGCCTCTGTCTTCTCTCGCAGCCTGTTGCCTGTGCTGCTTGGGTCCTCTCCACGGCACTTAGAGCTGCCGCCATAATGTCGCCTCTGGGTGTGTGTTTCTCATGCTTCTCCCTGTGGACTCTCAGCATCTTGAGGACAGAGCCTGGCTCAGTTTCCCTCATGGGTGCAATCCCAGCACCTAGCACAGAGCACAGGTTCTCCAAAAACATGTGGGATGAATTCTTGTCAGAGTACTGTGATGAAGGTGCCTTCCTTTTGGTCCTTCTAGGGGCCTTTGTGGCAGGAACAGGAGGTGACTGTGTTGGTGGCCTCCAGGCAGCCTATGAAGAGAAGCACCATGGTAGGCTGGCCACGGGGTGGGGGTAGGAAATCTTTGCCCAGCTCTCTGTCAGTGGTCACTATGCATCTGGCCTTTCTGGAGTCATTGCTCAGGGCCGGGCAGGGCAGGCTCAGGCCCTCAGACCCACTTTCCCACATGTACTGGTGCTCCTGCTGGGGACATCTGGACAATGCACAGGTCCTGGCCACCTGGCCCTCGGGGAGAGGTGGCTTTCTGTGGCTCTGAGTGACCTATATAGATATCCCTCTACGGCCAACAGATCAAAGAGGCCCGCTGTGCACCAGACCCCCATGCAGACATCAGGGGCTTCTGAGCTCCTCACCCTGCCCACCCTGCTCCTTTTAGCCCCTTCCTAGGCACCAGTGAGGAATTCTAAGAGTTCCTGGCTTCTTTACTTTTCTCTTTTTTGTGTGGTACTGGGGATTGAACCCAGAGCTACATGCAGGCTAGGCAAGTGCTCTTTCACGGAATCACATTCTTAGCCCTTTTAACATTTTTGTTCTGTTTTGAGACAGGGTCTGGCTAAGTTGCCTGGGCTGCGCTTGAATTTGCAATCCACCTGCCTCAGCCTCCCAAGTAGCCGGAATTATAGGCACGTTCCACCACATGTGCCTTTTCTTTGCTTGGTTTACTCTGAATCTCAGTGTTTTCCTCTGAGCAAACAGTAGAACAGCCCCGAGTAGTGTGCTTCGCCGGAGGGAGAGCAACCGTGCTTGGAGGAGAGGGGCCTGGCTCAGCTGAGGCCAAGTGCAAAGGAGTGGGAAAGTTGGGACAGGGAAGTTCTGTCCTGTGTACAGAGGCAGGCGCTGCCCACTGTCCTAGCAGAGGGGAAGGAGATGACACTTCCCAAGCCCGGGCCTGCACAGCGGCAGCAGGTGCCCTGGCTTGGCAGCCCCGGCGGGACTGGCCTCCCTGGTGCCAGCTGTCATGCCTGCTGGGTGAGGTCCCGAGGGGCAGGGGCCAAGACTGGCTCAGTGGCAGCTCTTTGGGGATGCAGTGGCCTGAGGTGATTTGCTGTGACAGGTCGTTGACAGCGCAGCTTCCCCGGTTGCTCAGGGTCACTGGCCAGCAGTCCCGGCACCTGCATCTGAGGGAGCAAAGGAGAGGCCGAAGCCGGCAGCCGTCCATGTGGGGAACCAGTGCTGCCTCAGCTGCACAGTGTTGGAGCTGCTTGCAGAGGGCAGTGAGTCCTGGTCGTGGTGCTCATTGCTGCCAACTCAGGAAATTCCTGGGACTCAGATCCTGGCCAGCACAGGGGTAAACCCCACACCCTTGATTAAATAAGAAAGGCGACACTCCACTCCGATCTCCCTTCCTCCCTCACTCCCTCTTCCCATTCTACCTGCTTTCATCCAAGATTTGTTGTTGTGTTGGGGACTGGGTTCTGGGAAGATGGGACAAATAGGCACAGTCCTGCCCTCGCAGAATTCATAGACTGGTGAGGGAGAAACACATTAAACAGGGAATGGCACTAGTAATTACTGAATTGAAACTGCTGATTGTTTCAAAGAAAAACAACGGGTGCTGTTAGGATCAGGCTCTGACCCAGCCTAGGGGCTCAGCTGAGGTTTCCTGGGGAAAGCCACCCTTGACCCTGCGAGGAGCCTTAGATTGGTGCCATAGAAGTGGGCCCCCAGTAGAGATGGAGATTAGTGAGGGCAATGATCAGGAAGAAACTGCAGGGGAGTGAGAGGGCAGGCAGCCCAGTCCTGTGTTGGTGGCATGGTGAAAGGAGACGTGGCCGGGTCCCACCTTGTGGAGAAGGACTGGCTATTCCTAGCGCCCACCAGCCAATGAGTTTTGGCCTGGGCTTCTCTGCTGCAGAAGCGACACAGCTTGTCCCAGGGCAATTCTCCAAAGAAGGTGGTGGCTGCTGGCTCTTCCTTGCGCTCCTGGTGATGCCCTCTGGGCGTGCCTCTCTGTGGAGGTGAGCTGTGAGGGGCATCAGTGTAGCTACCACACGGGCAGAGAGCACACGTGCAGAGCTGGGTAAATTGGGATCAGAGAGAAGCTCAGGCTTGGGGATAGTGTGTGTGTGTGTGTGTGTGTGTGTGTGTGTGTGTGTGCTTGAGTGTGAGGCTGGGCAGGGCACTGTGAAGGCAGCATTTGCAATTTAGGAAGAGGACTGTGGTTTCTGATTGGAGGAAAGGCTGGAGTGGGATCATAGACTGGGGACATGAGTGGTTTCCAGAGGAGCAAGGGGTGGCTTGGAGCAGCATGGGGTGCACCTGGTGTGATGGGGGTCACCTGAAAGCTATATAGGAGGAAGGATTTGGGGAGGTTGCTGATGATCAAGAGGAGATGCCAAGGAGGGAGCCAAATGCATGGGTCTGGGGCTCAGAGAGAGATGGAGTCTGAAAATACTCTTTGGTACAGTGATGTCTTTGGGGCTTTAGGGGCAGTTGAGACCACCAAGGAGAATGGAGCCGGGTGAGTGAGAGATGAAGCCCAGGGGGATTTCCAGGGCAAACAGGTCAGCGGAGGACAAGATGGTGGCAGAAGAGATGGAGGAGGAACAGCAGTGGAAGGAAAGGATGGGGAGAGCAGGGCAGAGCTGCATGGAGGCTACAACCCCTCTGAGGATCCGTTCAGGGGTGGGGAAGCTGGATTAAGCCACCAGGATCTTGTGTGCATGAGCACCAAGCAAGGGAGGCTGGGCGAGCAGAGGGTGTGTCGAGAAGGGACAGCAGAGGATGGGTGGCTGAGGCCTTGAATGCTGGGCAGTGTACTGTGGACTTCAATCTGTAAAGCAGAAAAAACAGAAGACATGATCTCCTGGAAATGGCTGGGTCTTTCTAGGAGCCCTGGGCAGTCTGTGGCTCAGAAATGGTCCTACAGGCACAAGCTCACCTCCCACTGTAGCTCCTTGGAGCTCTGTTTTGCGGAGGAAGCCCAAGATCAAACTCCCTTTGTAGCAAGTGGCTGTGTACTTGACAAACTCTTATCAGACCGTGGCTCTGGTTCGTATTGTGCTGTGCAGATCTATAATGTCATAGTTTTGGCTCTGCCGAAACCAGCTGGGAAGCCTGTGCATGTCACAGGGTCTCTGGGCCTCAACCTCTCAATCTCTGCTGGGCTGTGGAAGGAGGACTGGCTGATTGCTTTCTAACACCACTGCTTGTGGGGAGGAACTTCTGATCTATCACCGTCTGAGAAAAAGTTCTACCTTAAAAATGTGTGTGTTTTAATTTTTCTTGTGTCAGTTATTTTTGAACTTATTTGTTGCCTAGGCTATACGTGTTTAGTATAAGTAAATTTGAAAATGCTGATAGGCACAGGGAATTTTAAATGGCTCATGATCTCACCACCTTCTGGTATATTTGCCGTATGTGCAGTGTTTCCTAATGTATTTCCTAAATTAGACTTTGGTAGTGATTCTCATCTCCAAACTTCAGAAGTATGTTCAAAATATGCCTCTATGGTATATTCTAGAAGTTGGCTACTCAAAGAGGGATCCATGGCCCAGCTGCATCTGTAGCATCTGCTGGAAATGCAGACTCTCAGGCCACCCCAGAACCTACATTTTCCATGAGATCCCTGAGTGATTCA